GTTCAGACCGCAAATGCGGTCGCCACTTAAATGCAACTCTAAAAATAGCACACACAAACACACCTATTATGTGAGTATGTAGTTGAGTGTGTATTTGAGTGTGTGTGTATGTGTGAGTGTCGGTCATATGCTTATGCTAAAAATAAAGGGTAAAGCCCCATAGCGGCTAAAGCATCGGAGCGCACATTTGATTTAAATTGAAGTTAAAGCCAAAGCCAAAGGCTAAGATCAAGGCTATTCTATGGCCATGGAGCTATGGAACGTGGCTTGCGCCTGGCAATATCATCATTATCATCAAATATTTATGACGCAGCGGCTGAGCACAGTCTGGGCTTAAGCCTTAATCAAATCGGTTCGTTGCCATTTCGTAAGAAAATTTTCAAGTTCGTTGCCTAAGTCTTTTGTCTCATTTTTTTCTCAAGCTTAACAATTTTTATGTCATAAAATATGAGCATTAAAAATTAGCGCTAGTGACTCTCAATCAAAATTACTGATAGCCAATATTTTGAAAAATAAATTTGTTAGTAGAAGCATTTGTGTGAGAATATTTTATTTATAGTTTTTCACTACCTTACCTTACTCTTAACGTAAATATTCTATAAATAAACGCATAGAGGGTCACTAGCAACAGCGTATCTAATGAATGAATAACTATTAATTAAGCTAGCTATCCACATAAAATAATTATAAGAGTAATAAGAAAAGTAAATACACTGATACAATTATAACTGACAACTTGTCAAGTAAATTGCTTTGCCTTCTGTACGCTTACTTATTTATGCTGAGGGCGAAACTCAAATGCTAAACTCTCACTTCCTACTTAAGATTAACCATCCACGAGCACATAGATTAGGACCCCATAAGCCAGTGTCCCCATTGTGCACCATCGTCTGCATCCATTTGACATTATTACGATATTTAGCATTGCCAGCGCATTAGTTATCTGTGTATGATACTTGAGCTGCACTTCCTTAGAAAAAGCAGCCGTCGATACTTGCCCAGGCACACACAGACTCGTATGCATTAATGGTCAAGAGCTTTGAGTGCTCATCCTCCTCCACTGATTGAGTCAGCTGTGACTGTCCCACCGCTGGCAGCATAATTTGTGCTGCAGTTCCAGTGGCAAATCCAAAGCCCAATCCCAAGCGAAGCGAAGCGGTCCAACTGGCATAAATTCTAGGCAGGCAACCCGCTGGCTTTCATTTCTAATTTTTGCATTTGGACCACTGTGGGATCGGCTACCGTCCATCGATGGGGCAGCGATGTCGATGTCGATGGCGATGTTTTAGCGCATTTTATTGCTTTATTTGAGACTTTGGCATCGCAACGCTTGTCAATTTTACAACTTTATAGAGGCGAGCGAGCGTCTTATCGTTTTGCATATTTATGCCTCGCTCGATGGCCATGTCTCTTAATATTTTTGACATATTGGCTATGTGCCGTGTGCTGGTTTGCTGCATTGCTGGTCCAACCATTGTCTGGTGCTAGTGCCTCATGGCTGGACCTAAGGCTTCTTTCTGTCCACTGTCTGCTGTCTTATGTTCCCTGTTCCCAGTTGTCTGCGTCGGCTCTGTGAGAGGCACATTGTTGTCGTCATTTGTTGACTGCGCCTTCCACAGAAATTTGTGCAACTCGACTCAAGGAGTTGAGAGTTCTGTATTTGCGTCTGCATCTGCATCTGCGTCTGTGTCTGTTTCTGCTTCTATATCTGTGTATTTGTGTCTGCGTTCGCATTTGAATTGCAAATCCTATTATGACTTGTGAAATTATAATTTTTCTAGCCAGGCCGCACAGCCACTCCAGGTTCGTGTCCATGTCCATGATGTCCATGATGTCCATGAGGTCCAGTCTGCATGTAGCCTCTCTCTCTCTCCCTCTCTCTGCCCCTCCCTATCTCTCCATCCCTCTTGCCTGCAGTTTGGCCCGTTGTGTGTTTGTCTGTGTGTGGAGCAGAGGGTTCAATAGTATGAATTATGCATATGCAGGCGCTTTCGGGGCGCACACGCATCGCATGCACTTAGTTATGATAACGTTGCACATTTTGTTGACCAGGCTCCCTCCTCAACTGTCCTCTGCTCTCCATCAGCATCCTCGTCTATTTGTTTTGTCCAGTAACAACAGGAACGCAACAAAAATGCAACACGCCCCACGCTCCAAACGGATGCATCCGCAGCAACAGCAGCAAATGGCCAAACGGCCAAATGGCTTATGCTTTATGCGTAGCAGCTACTGGCCACTGTAGAGCAGTGTAGAGACGCTGAAGACGCCCCCTCTTTTGGCTGCTACCGCATCTCGAACTCGAACTTGGGACCAACCATTGCTGCTGACAGAACAAAGAAGTCGTTCATTTGTAATTGTTGTTGCTGCTGCTGTTGCTGTTGCTGCCACAAAGGGCAGCCATGGCCAAGGATTACTACTCCAACATATGTATCTTTGTACATACATATATGTATATATACACATACATGCATACATACATTCACACATACATACTTATGTACATATAAGTGTGTGGCGTGTACATGCATACATATTTATGCTCATATAGAGAGGCATTCGGTGTGCTTGCATATCTTTTATGACTTTTGACTTGCCTTTGACTTTGGTCAGGTTGAGTTGAATGACCCACACATACAATGCCAGAGGAATTGTATCCAAAATCCATGGTCAAGATCCATGTCTATCAGATGACTTCAAGGTAACAACAGACTTTACAGTCAAATAACGTTTAGGAACAGCAGCAGCCACCAACTGATAGTTAAACAATAACTTTTTAAGATTATATACACAAAAACTAGAGGAGCAATCTGAATATAATTAATTATTGGAATAATCATCAAACTCTAAAACTGATTTTATCTAACATATGAAATTCAGAGTTAATCTCAACTTTCCATCATTTCTAAGGTCTATAACAAAATAAAAAGAGCCAATCATGAGATTACTTTAAGTGGACGACTGCAATTTTGTGAGTCCGTCCACCACAGACACCACTTACAGCTAAATAAGCAGCCTATTAGCTGGGCTTCTTTTTGCTACGCCAACTCCTCACACAAATTAGATGTCAGTCAACGTTTAAGCTGGTCAGCTGCCCATGATTACTGCCTCCGTTTCTTTGTCCAGGCACAGAAACAGCATCGTCCAACGATTTCAGCTATGACATTACCTCAATGTCAGCGCAAAATTTGCAAATTAGCAGCAGACAACAAAAGAATTATATATGCACATTATATAATGCGAGTATCAAACTAACAACGTCAAATGCTTGGGTAGCACAGAAATCCCAAACCAAACCGAATCAATTTGCTGCGGTCCACAAAATGAAAACGAGAACGAGAATCGTCACAGGCCCTGTCTTTGATACTGGGAATGAATCTGCATACCGTAGGCAGTTAGGCTGCCAGACAGCTCAACAGCCGCGCAGGCAGACATCCCCTCCATCTACTTCTCTTCAATTCAAGCACACACAGATTTTTCCCATCATTAACATTGCACAGACAAAATCTGCATGGAGATGAAGTTAAGCCGACCACGAAACATGCGTACTTAGTTGCAAAGCTCTTGCGTCTGGGACTATTTGTTTCACGAATTCGCAGCGCATTTAACTCGATGAAAAAAGAAATAACAAACATATCTTCAACGTAGAAACTAATGGTGCGGCATGCGCAGCTTTTCAATAACCTATTAATCTAATAATAACGATTGAAAATAATTATAATATAGTTTTGGAATATATTATATAGAATTACTTCGTCAATTCTCACATTTTCACATGTGATGAAATGAACAACAATGAAAGTAATGAAAAAATGAACCAAATATATCTCACATTTATGTAATTAAAAAAAAAAGATTATTATTTGTAAACTTTTTAATTTAAGTGAACACCCAACGAGCTTAAGCTATTGCTCCTCAAAATAAACAGTGTTTTATTTCAAATGTATAATTAATTAATTATCGACTGACTACTTTTAGATCCTTAACTGCAGTTGGCTAGTCCTAAAGTGCTCAATTTGTAGTGTGCATGAAGGCAACAGGCAGTGGCATTCTGTCCATTGGTCCGAACAAGGGAAAATTCATGTCCATCCTACTATCGTAACAAGAACAATTTGTTCTAATGCGCCGTGGCAGCAGTAGCATCTGATGCCGGAGCCCTTTCAGCGAGAAGCTAGACAAGGAGAGGGATGGGGAGAGGAGGGGAGATGCTTACTAAAAGGAAAGGGCAGCCAGCGAACACGCAATGGGTAGTACAAATGTAGACATTAAACTACTCTGGCTGTGGTTGGCTAAACCGGAGACTCAGACGAGGCGCACCTTAACACCGAGTGACACGCAATGGACAAACACCAGAGCCAATGTCCATCCATGTCCATATCATACACATTACATACACTATATATTAGATATATAAAATTTACCATATATTTCGCGCCCAACTTTTCTGCCCAGAAGACATTTACGAGCGTTTCAATAAATTCGCTATAGAAATTTCATTAATCGCCTCACACATGCAACAGCCAACCGATGCTGGGCAGCAGGTGAGCTGATAGCTGCTAGTTGCCAGCTGCTAATACTGAGGATGCCCCTGCAGTTGTGCCATGGCCATAAAAATATTTGCCGCCTTAATGTGAGTGGCTTATAAATTTGCACAAACGCGACCATATATAGCATTGAAGCATGGGTCCATGGGGGCAGGGGCAGACCACCAACCAGCAACTGGCAACTAGCAACTGACAATTGTACATAACTGTTATTGTGTCTCGTTGGCTCGCTGTTGGCCAGTTGGACAGTTGTTTTTCTTGCTGTGTTGGCTATATCCAATAGACCGCTCAATGATTTTCGGGCCAACAAAACAGTTGTTACTTTGATTTTGTCAAGAGAAAACCATCAGCTGCAATTTTTGAATAAACAGCGAACTTTGGCTTTGGCCAAATTACGGCAGTAAAGATCTTAAATTATGCAATGATTCTTAATGCAAAGAAAGTTACCAACTGAACGCATTTTCAACATTTAATTCCATTTATTTAATTTTATATTTGGATTTTGGTTTTGCTATTGTTTTACACATTCTAATGGTTTCCATTTGAAATTCTTAGTCTACATAGCGGTTACACAATGGTTTATATTTGGTATCGATAATGGGTCTGCAATTAATAAATACTAACGCTAATGCAGCGAAATTCAAATGCGTCTCAATTACATATGAATGTAGGTTAATGAGCATGGCCACAATGAATGTATTCAAAATTCAACTTAAAATAACATCAAAGCCTTAAGCTCTGTTCTGGCAAGTTTTCATAAAACGGAACATTTGTTTCGGTTTTTTTTTGTTTTTGGTAATAGTAAAACTAAGTTGATGAATGTAAATTCAAAGTTCAGTGCTTAAACATCTTCATATCTTTGGGCAAAATCATTTGGTTGAATTTTCTAGATAACTTATTGGGTGTAAGCTAAATTAAATGGCAAGAACTAATTCTAAACGTTGTTTACTTTATCTTTCTCTCTCTCTCTCTCTCTTTCTCTATGGCACAGTTACTCTGATAAAAAGCAGAAAGAATGGTTGTTACCTATTTTTGATTCATGTAGTTGGTCGCAATCTTATCGAGTATCGTATCGATCGAGAGCAGTTCCTCTCGAAACTTTTGCATGGTTTGCGCCGGCACAATCCACTTGAGAAACTCCTCCACATTCAGACGGAGCCTAGCCAAAGGTGTCAGCGTCGCATCGTCATGGCACGGACGCTGTGCGAGTTTCAGTGAGGCAATGATAACATTGTCAATTAAACGCTTCTCATAGCCCAGCTGACGCAGCTTCTGTGCCGAGCTAATCTTCTTTAGCACCACGGCCATGTTGAAGCGTATGCTGGATAGTGTCTGCATATCTGCTGTCTGATCTCCATCGTTGAGCTCCTCCGTTGACTGACATTTGGTGCTCCGTACGGCATGCGCCTGCAGCTCCACTTTGATCTTGAAGAACTCATGGCAGCTTGGACACATGTAGGGCTTCTGCTGTTTGTGTATCTTCTTCATGTGATTCTTGAGATGCGCCAGCTGCGAGAAGGCCACCTCATCCGTACACAGCTGGCAGCGAAACGGCTTCTCGCCGGTGTGCTTTCGTATGTGCAGCTTCAGCACGCTGGAATGAGCAAACGTCTGTTGACAGATCTACAGGGGAAACCAAATTAATCAATATTCTTGGTTTAAGCAGGTTTAATTCACGACTCACCCGACACTGATATGGTCGCTCTCCCGTGTGCATTCGCATATGAACGTTGTACTGGGACTTTTGGGTGAAATACGAATTGCACACCTCGCAAACGTGCGCCTTAACCGATGAATGCTTCTTCAGATGGCTGGCCAGATCCTCATCCGTTTCGATGGTCTTCTGGCATATTTGACAATCAAATTGCCTCAGTTTGTGGTGTTCCTGATTGATGTGCGTACGCAGCGCCAATTCGTTTGGAAACTCATTCTCGCATATGAAGCATCTGTATTCCATGCCCTGTTCGTGCCGTTCCATGTGCACGCGCAGATTGGCATTCGTCGAGAAGCTGGCCGAGCAGTGTGTGCAATTGAATTGCTGTATGCTCGTCTTGTGATGCGATACCACATGCTGTTGCAACTGTATGTAAAAAATGAAAGCATAAGTGTGAATTTAGATGTTAGTGAAATGATATCCACCACTCACCTGGCCACCGCGGGCAAAACGTTTCTCGCAGAGCGAGCATGGATATGGCTTCTCGCCCGAATGCAGACGCATGTGCAGCTTGAGACGCTCTTTTAGAGCAAACGATTTGGGACACTCGGTGCAGGCGAACTGTTTCTTGCGCTCGTGGGCGGTGGTGATGTGATTCTTCAGATTGACGGCCTGGCGATAGCATTTGCCGCACTCGCTGCACTTGTGCGGCCGCAGGTCCGAATGGATGAGCATGTGCCGCAGCAGATCTGTCCTGCCACCAAATTCCTTCGAGCAATGACTGCACACGTGCTGCTTGCGTTTGCCTGTGTCCGCTTTGCGTGCTCTCTTTGCCACCGGCTGAACATAATCCGCATCGGCATCCGTGTCGCCATCAGAGAAATCCGGTTGGGCATCTGGCTCCCCATTAGCCGCAAACAAATCCTGTACACTGTTGACACTTCGCTTACGTCGCTTGATGCTGCCTGTCGCTTGTGGCGACAATTCGCGTGTCGCCGGCGGCGATGAGAGCGAAATGCCACTGTCTGTGAGCACCGAGGCCACATCCTCTTTGGAGAGGCTGCGACGGCTGCGTACCATGCTGAGTTAGTCTTATGGTTATTTTATAGAGCTTCCTGCACCCGGCACCAGCTGCTTATTTACTTGGGTAGGGGGTTAATGAGTCTACGATAGGTATTTGTTTTTGTTTTTGATTTTTTTCGATTTATAGTATATTTTATTTTACTTTGGACTACTTTAGCTAATGGAGGTTCCCAAACACCTTGGATTATTATAGCGATTTAGTTATAGTTTCGCTGCAAGAAAAAGTTGGAGAGCTCTTTTATTTATTTAGCTTGCAATGCCACGTTCAAAAACAACTCACATAACACAGAACACAAAAGCGAACAACAATAAGAACAATTTCAGCTGTGTCTACCGAACTTTAAAAAACTGTCGTTTAAAACGATAAGAACAATTTTGAATGGGGCGGGGAGCAATGAACAGAAATACCTACATACACGGAGCGAAAACGATTAGCTAAATGAGTACTAATTATAATACCTCCAAAAAAAACTCTTGATAACTGTAAGACATTTTCTTAATAATTTGTCACTATTGAAGTGCAAAGTTTCTAGAAATTGAGCATCGATTTTTCGCAGTGTACAAATATTCCTATTACTTTTATCACTTTATCAGCTACGATTTCCAGGTACACACGCACACACACACACACACACACACACGGGGAGACTGATACTCGTAAGCGCATTGCTAAATAGTTGTTTAGTTTGTTTTCTCAATCTTTTGTTTTCAATGCGCAAGAGAGAGATACAGAGAGGGGGAGATAGAGAGCAAGAGCTCTCGAGAAAAGCTGATAAGCGCGCGACAAAGGCAATAAACTGATAAGGCACAGCTTGGCGAGCACCTTGACGAAGACGCAGATAACAGTTTACTTCTTATAGAATGTGTCAACTTTTTTCCACTATTAAAGTGCTGTTGTTGCTGGTGCTGCTGCTGCTGCTGTTGCTTGAAACTTCTAATGAAATGCAGCAAGGAAAAGTGCATGCGAAACAAAGAAAAACTGTAAAAGTACTGAAACGATAACGACCCTGGGAACAGTTAGCGCGAAATGCAAACGAAATAAACACACATCTGGTGGCCAGATTGCTCATATGACCATACATACATATACACACATACATATACATAATATATATATGTATATACATTGCCAGAAGATTTTTAGACCTTTGGCGTCGCTTGATTGGCGCTGCTCAAAAGCATCGTAGTAAAGTACACATCATGTAGAAATAAAGGGCGGCCAAACTCACTCACAGTATTGAATTTTTGTGAACTACAACTCGACAACAGCATTGAAGCATGATGTTGGAGTACAAATAACCAAGTGCAGGGGCAGGGCCACAGGGCCACACAGTTCACGTTGACAGCTGCACGTTACGCAAATGAAGCGTAAAACGAAACTGAAAACTGTATTGGAAAAAAGCGAATTGAAAGCGCGAAAAAAAAACCAAACCTTAAAAACACATTCAAAGAGCTTTAACTGTAACTATTGCAGCGTCGCGACGCTGCTGTTGACAGCGACGCTGGCCGTACGGTAGCCAACGAACGATTTATTAAATTGAAAGAGAACGTTGAAAAAAGCACGAACGACAGCGAAAACTCACAAAAAGGTATGTGAGAGTGTGTGTGTGTATGTAAAAAGAATACAAAAACAGCAGTTTTGTAATGCTAAATAGGCAAATCAGCAGCAGCAGCAGGCAGAGAAGCAGCAACAATTGCAGTGGGGGTGTCCAAAATTGAAGTCTTTTGTTTACGTCGCTGTTAAAAAATAACAAATTCTACAGCAAGAACACAATGTTAGTAAGGCCAAAACCAGCACCAATTGTTTACATTCAATAATACAATAATAAATAACATAAGCATACATTACATATGCGTGTATGTAAGTATGTATGCAAGTGCCATCACCACTGTTAATTCGCATTGTTAGGGAAATCAAGAGCAACCAGAACAGAATAGAAAAAGGAGACTTACCCGCAGTGGACAGCGAATATTTAGAAAGAGCAGCATTGCAAACCTTTAATATGAACACACGCACACATACAGACGCACACGCATGCATACATACACACAATCACGCTGCATTATGGCTTTAATTCAAAACAAACGCCCATTTTCATTGCATATTTCAGCATTTCTTTACCTTTGGCAGCAGGCCAGCAAACAAAATTTGGCAAATACAACCAAATGTGTTAACGCATTTCACTTTGCTAAGTATTACATTTCGCAGACTAAATGAATTGAATGTTTTCCTTTGGCTAAACTTAATTAATTTTCCAATGCAGCCTGCTGCTGTGTGGTGTTTATTACTCAAACAAGCTGGTGATGGAACTAGTTCGATATCAGTATACCGAAAAGTTACTACTTTTAATCGATTTGGTATTATTCTTATTGTATTCCAGTGTTTGACGCATGCGGTAACACTGCATTCGTAATTATTCCCATACAAAATGAAACCTTTTTTTGTTAACACATTTATTGTATGGAATTCAAAACGCCAGACGTTTCATTAGCAGGTACATGTGCTGGTCCACCTCGAAGCCATGCAAATTGTTGGCATCACCCTGCAGACGCATCAGCAGGCCTCCAAAGGAGACATACGCCGAGAGACGCGACGATTCGTTATGCGCCTCATCGCCCTCAATGCGATAGATCTTTCCATACATCACATACTCGAAGCTGTCGGCCCGTGTGCCCTCGTGCTCCATGGGATTGTATTCGCCGCTGTCGGGGCAGCCGTCCTCGCGTAGCGTCGTGGCGAGCACCAAGCGGAATTTGTCGCCCAATTCCATGGGATAGAGCCACGAGTTTATGTCCAGGATGAGATCCATTTTAAAGGATTCGGATTCGCAGTGCAGGCGGGAAACGCGATCGAACTTTTTACCCTCGGGATCCATGTCCTTCACGTTGAATATGTCCTCAAATAACACACCAGCCATTTTATCTAAAAAAAAATGTTAACTCGATTCGTTTATTGCGGGCCGCCAAAAGTTTACCTTGAGTTAAGTATTCGCTGCTGATGGATTAAAAATGTGATTTTAAGTTAGGCACAATCTATAACTTCTAGTTAATATTCCGATCTTAATTATTTTTAGTTATGCGCCAGATTTCATTACTTTTGTTATATATTTAATAAGAAATACAGCATTGTCGGCACTTTGCCTCAGCGTGCTTCAGTCAGGGCTGCATAATATGGACAATGTTGATTTGTGGTGGTAAGCCGACATGTCAGCAGATTTCGATACATCAATGTGATAGTGCTGCCAGATGCGTTAAGTTCATCCGTTCACAGCACACTCATTTCAAACAAAATTTCAAATGCAAATCAGTTTTTCTTTTATTAATATCATATTCACAATCGTTGACATCATTTACCAGTTCTGCACTTGATCAGAATAGGCAATAATGCGACCGCCCGAATATATTGGTTTGCGTATGGCGGGCGTGAACTGAGCAATGGTGGGCCTATTTTGTAGTTTGGCGGGCTTCCTTTGCAAAGGTGCATTAAGAATTAAACGTTCAGAATTAAATGCTCTAAATGGAATGCGACGCTCCACGAATGGCAACGTCAATTGTGTCGCCGGAAAGGCAGCATTAACTCTATTGATTATCTTGGCGGGTCGCCTTCGCTGCGGACGAGCTGTCAACTTTGCGGGTCTCCTTTGCACCAAGGGACGTACCAACTGGCGGAAGGCGGTGAAGCGTTGAACTAGCGGTAGAACGAACTGCAATTGGGGCCGCAAGCTGGCCAGGTTTATGGTCGCTGCACTTTGTGCCGTACTGCTCGTGGGCAGCTCTGGCGGTCCATATGTCTGATCGGGCAATTCTTCGATAGCTGGCGGGCCATCGGGTGGACCATAGACTTCATCGGGCGGGCCGTAGACCTCATCGGGTGGTCCGTAAGTCAGCTCGGGCTGCTCTTCAGGGGGGCCATAAGTCAAGTCCGGTTGGGGAAAGTCAGCCGCCTCCTCCGTGGGCAACTCGAATGGTGGATCAGGCATTAAGCCCGCTGGTGGATACGGGGCTGCTGCTGCAGCTGCTGCTTCTTGTCGCTGCAGACGTGGTCCCGGAAACCGCAATCCAGCCCCCGCATGGAGGCAAAGCAACGCACAGAGCGCCATCAAAAAACCGCTAGCACCAAACATTTTGCTGTCACAACTTGAACTGCTGCTGCCAAATGCCAATTGGCGGCTATAAATACAACTGGCCAATAGGCGACCTTGTGGCCCAAAATTCAGACAAGGCCGCAACGATGACTTATACGGCAAACCCGAGCGTTTACGTGAGTAACCCACAATTACGTGTCGAGCCAAAAAGAATATGTTCGGAAACTTTATTAAATTGCATTTACATGACTCTGGTTACAATTTGAAGCGCACCAAGCGCTGAGGCACCGGCTGCTGGCCACGACCTGATTGGGGGAAGCGTTGATAGAACCTCGCCGACTTACTGCCGTCCTGTGCTGGCTGATCAAGTGACGTGGATACGGAGATCACTGTGCCATCTTCGGCCACCTGCACTAGCACTTCATCCTCGTCCGCATCTGGGGCTGGCAGCTGCCTGGTTTGATCATCCTCTGGAACTGGTAGGTCGTCCGTTTCTGGCAATGGCTCCTCGTCCGGTTGCGGTGCCGCATCCGCCGGTGGCCCATATGTGTTATCCGGCGGCAGATAACTCACTTCCGGCTGCACAGTTGAGCTGGGCAACTCGAAGGGCACATCGGGTGTTATGCCCGCCGCCGGATAACCTGTGGGCGCTGCATTCGGTAGCGCTTCCTGCTCCTGACGCGCCAGACCTCGTCGCGGCACGAATCTTTGACGCAGTGGCTCCGCATTGGCCAGCACGGCCAGTCCCAGCAGCAGGATTGCAGATACAGCTTTTATCATTTTGAAGCCTATGCGACTTGTGTTCTGAGTTGCCCAGTTGCTGTGCTTATTTATAGTCGCCTCCCGGCAGTTCTGTGTGTGTTTTTTTTTGTTTGTTTAATTATGCTCGTCACTTTCGGTTTCTTTCCGCTTTTCCCGGCTCGGCTTTTAGATTATGTTGCCCCGATCGAGTCGGCCGGCGATTTCTGTTTTAATGTTGGCTACGTGACCCTTTTCCTAATTCAAGCGGCCCAATGCTAACCAAGTGCCAATTGCTCGTCTCTCTGCACCTCTTCATTAACGCGCTGGTGACGACGATTCCAATGAGCTTCACGCAGTAATTGAAGTAACTCTGGATATATATATTTTTTTTTTGGTTCTTGGCTATTCATAATTTTATTTGATTCGTTTAATATTCATACCTAGAGGCCTTGATAGAAACGTGTTCGGAGGAGCGCGCCATTAGGCATAATTCTCAACTAGGTCAAGCCCAATGTTCGAATGTTAAATACTACATTATTGGTTTCAATTGTGTTCTTGTGTAAAAAAAAAAACATAAATGTTTAAAAGTTTTTTAAATCAGAAAAATCCAACTAACTAGCTACTGTTACTGAAGGATTTTCTATTATATGTACGTTAAGTCCACTTGGAAATGGTTCCTAACGTCGAGATAAAAAACTGAGTTTTACCTTAGAAGCACGACAAATCTGAACAAATCTGGCTTGGTATCTAGATTATTACTGCGTTTAAAGTTAGAAAGACTTCTCTTGGTCGAAATTCGTGCTAAACTTCTTTTCCAAAAAACCAACCAATGACACAACTTCGACCAAACTCAACCGATGTTAAAACAAATATATTATGGTTCATGGTTTGGTGTCTAGATTAAAACTGCATTTAAATTCATGTTAAAGTTCTGTTCCAAAAATCGACTTGGTTTCGAAAACTTTACATTGCCATAACTATTTGCAAAAGCAAGGACATTTTAATCATGGTTTTGTCCCTAGACTAATGCTGCATTCAAGCCGATTTTTTGTCAATATTAATTTAAAATTCTATTCCAGAATATTGAGCTGGGGATAGTTTCAAATTTGCCACTTCAAGAGGCAAGGCTTTTTGAGAGTGGTTAAGCATCTAGATTAATATTAGACACATATTTAGAAACTCGACTCTTTGTCGAAATTCACGTTAAAATTCTCTCGGTGGAGTCATAAATCTGAATCATGTGCTTTGATTGAAACATGTTTGAATTATAACAACAAATATTTCATATATTTCATGAATAACAAAAATGTAAGTCGTAGTTCGTTAAAAAAGATTCGTGTAAATACAATCCTTAGATGGTGTAGACTAGAATAGGCTGGGAGCGAATGATCTGAGTGGAGCGCAGTTTCTCTGCCACAGGACGACGACGACGCAGACGTCCGTTGCGCTGTTGAATCAGGCGAGCGGGAATGGGCTCAGATGCTGGGTCCGCATCTATTGGCTCCAGATCAGCCTGATCAGCTGCAGCGTCAGCTGGTGGACCGTAGGTGTTGTCGGGCTCGGCAGGTGGACCGTAGGTGTTGTCTGGCTCTGCAGGTGGACCATAGGTGTTGTCTGGTGGGCCATAGGTCAGATCTGGCTGCGCCTCTGTCTCCGTCTCGGTGGGCAGGTCAAAGGCAATGGCAGGCGTGACACCAGCAGGTGGATACGGCGCTGAAGCTGGCGTTGGTGCAATGTCTACTGCTGGATCATCTGCCGATGCCGGTGGAGCGGCCTCCTGGCGAGCCAACCTAAATCGGGATGAACGGCTGCGCAGACGAGCCGCTGGCTCCGCCAGAGCCACAGCTGCAATGGCAGCCAGGAGAAGCACAGCGCTGGTAAACTTGAATGCCATGTTGTACAATTGCTGATTGTTGCTAGAATGTTGATTTTGCATGGCGATCGTCGAGCTTATATACACAACAGTTTCACCACTCTTAAATGGCAATGCGAGGGACACCCTTACGATTATATCAATGTGCTAATTTATATACGCTTACGCTTACGTGACAATATTTAGTCAAGGGCCCATGTCTAACCCATAACCATTGGCCATTAAGCTGTTTTGGCCACTTAACTCTGAACTTCACTCACCAAATGCATAGTGGTGCAATATGCAGTGAATTCATAAAGTACTCTTGAACAAGTCAACTGATTGATATTAATATGAAACTTAGTTTATTCATTTGATTAATGATTGTAATTTAATTTTAATTGAGTCCTTTCTGCTTACACTTATTCTATTGTCAATAAAACTTGCATTTAAAGTTCATATATAGTTCTTGGTAGACAAGTTGGCTTAGCCAATATTTGAGTTAATCTTTTTTAATAAGACTGTCACTTTTCAAAACAGTTAGCTTGTATAATTAAATTATATATTGGTATATTGTCTTAATCTCTTAATAATGAAACCTCCGAAAGACAATATCAATTTATTTTCAAAGCACTGTGCGGCGTCTGTTTGTCATGCAGGCCAATGGGTTTTTGATTTTTTTTGTTTTTATTTTTGGGAGTTGGCTATGAAATTATTGACTGCTTTATATGCGGAACGTTGCGGTCGCGTCTAGAATCGCCGCCGTCGGGGCCACTGGGCCAACTCTACGAGTATAAAAGTAATAGCTCCATATACGAATGGTAACAAAGCGTCTCAGCAACTTAGACGATCATGGCACGTTATCAACTCATTAGCTCCCTGCTGCTTGGTCTGGTCATTTTGGTGGCCCAGACGACAGCCGAGGCGCCTCGAAGATTGCGCTACAATCGTCAGCGTCAGGCGGCATTTGCAAGGCAGGAGATTCAACCGACGCCATATCCCACTGCAGAGGAGCTGAAGCCGGAGGAGCCGGTGCTCATCTATGGCCCACCACCGTCAACGGATGTGGATGAGCTGCCCGCTGAGCAGGAGCTGCCAACGAATAGCTTTCAGCCTGATGCCGAGACCGACATTGATGTCGATAATGCTGAGGCGCTGGACAATGAGGAGACCGCGCCAGAGCTCACAACGCCGGCTGCTTTCGCTCGCCTGCGCATCAGCCGCCGCCAGAAATTGGCCAAACTCCAGCTGGCCAAGGTGCAGCCCAACCGTCAGCGCATTGCTCGCCTGGAGGCAGTCCCAGTACCCGCTGAAGCACCATTGCCGGCAGTTCCCCAATTTTACTATGTTGGTGGCCAGCAGCAGCAGGCCTATTTGGTTGCCTACAATCCGGCTAACCAGCAGCTGGCTTGGTAAATTGTAAATCAGTTTGGGGACTGATTGATTGTTATTGATTGTGTTGCTCTATTTGTATACATATTGTTATTGTCTATTAAACTACGTTAAAAATATCTCCTTATTGATTTATGTCTTTCTTTCTTCTCTTCTGGAGTATCGTTGACACTTTTCGCCATTTTTGCAAATCATTTGCCATTAGCAAGCACACCATCTTTATTCAGTGCATGTTCCCTTCTTGTTAGACGGTTCCTACTGGTCATGTTACTTAAGTCCTTTCTCTTATTTTTTCCTTAATACGGCTTGTTATTACTGCATTCATCCAAATGGTAGCTTGATCCAGCGTCGAATCGATGGCAAGGTTAGTTTTTAAACTACTTTTGATGCATATCGTGGCGGAATTGGTAAGCCCAAAGGAGAATTTTGGCTGGGCCTAGAAAAGTTGCATAGAATACCAACACATCAGCAACATGAGCTCTATATTCATATTGTTACCCATGATGATATGACCCATTATGCCCGATATTCCGATTTTGTTGTTGGTAGCCTAGAAAAAATGTTTGTACTCAAATCGCTAATATGATCCGCATATGTGTGAACAGGAAATTCAGTATTACAGCTACCAACTTTAAGTTTGGTTGGTGGTGTCATTTAGGTGATTTTATTGAAAGTGTGTCAAGCATTGTATTTATCTTTATTTGATATGATTTTCCAATTTGCAGTAACCTGAATGGCAAATTTTCGATAACAGGATCTATTAGTGACCAATACATGCATTGGCAAATCAAAGAATATGGAAATAAACCCAATTTAATCAAGTCCTCACAAATGTTAATTAGGCCAAAAGCAATTAGATAAAAACTGTAAGAACATATTTATTATAAATAAATATTATTCCGTTTTTATAACACTTGTGACAATCACATACAAATATATATTGATTTAAATACAATGAGTAATTTAATTACAGTATTATACTATAACTTAATTAAGCACCGAATTACTATTGAAATCTCAGCGCATGAAATATCACATTTCATGCCTCACGTTTCAGGTATTTCCTCTGGTTTTCGAGATTATATTGTTTTCATAATAATTGTTTACGGTCTACTGCTTATATGTATGTATGTATTTATTTATTTATTTATGTGCAATATAATGAGTATTGCTTTTTAGGCTGGGCAGCAAGGTTTACCCAGCAAAGAAAGATCCCCGAGTCTCGAGCGCACCAACATTTGGCCTCGAATTATTTCTCAGCGCTTCGATGGCCTGATAGTTGATAAACCAGAATGGCTGATTGTCCAAAGGCAATTGACTTAGATGATCGACATAGTTCTGATCCCCATGCGCATCGATGGGCAATGCATTCGAAGTGACCGGATTGCGGTTGCTGCTCCAGCTGCTGCTGCTGCCGCTGCCGCTGTTGCTGCTGCCGCTGTTGCTGTTGCCGCTGTTGCTGCTGCCGCTGCTGACACTGCTGTCGCTGCTGACACTGCTGCTGACACTGCTGCTGACACTACTACTGATAGGGATGACATTGTTATTTGTGCCACCAAAGCGACTCGGAAAGTCAACGGGTGCATTTGATGTGGTGAATGGCACAGCGGGCACATTGCTGCCGATGGGATACACCAGAGGCACACCCATTGGCGGCTTTTGGGAAGCGCCATAGGGCAAGTTAATTGATTGCGCCGGTTGAGGCACAGCATCTGCGCCAAATCGAGTGGCAATGTCCACACCAGTTATATTTTCTACGGCCGTATTTTGTGTTGCATGGTATTTGTCCAACTGGCTGAGTCCGCCAGGCGGACGCACTCCAGCAAATGATGGCCGTTGCGCCTGCGACAGTTCAAGTAGCCCGATAAACATCATCACATAGCACAAAGTCTTCAACATTTTTTTATATATTTTTTGTTATTCGATTTGAAAATGCGAATTTCACTTTATGCTTCGATTGCATGAAACGCGTCTAGATGCTCTGTGGTTGATTTGCTCGTGGCGACTGAGAGTTGAAAGCATTTGGCGATTATTTAAATAAGATCCCAAGATGCTGTGCGACGAATATTCAACTGACTCAGTCCAAATAGAGACACAGAGAGAAGGAGAGAGTGAGAGAGAGCGACAGAGGCAGCAACTGAGGCAGAGGCAGAGACAACCTGGGCAGTTTGTGTTCGCTTATCACTTGTTTTGATACCCAGTCTGATCCCATCAAATTTAACTCGTGCTCCGTAATCCCGCCTTGTGTATTGCCTTTTGTGTATTTTTATTTAAAAACATACATCTTTCCTCGGCTATAAATTAACAGCGATAATTACAAGCAATCTTTTCGAAAATGTGAAATATTTAAAAGTTTCTTCAAAATACAAGAGTATTGTATATAAATAAATATATCTGTACAGCTGTATGAGAGAGTTTAATGACTGTCATTAACTAAAATAGTATATATTGTATATATTAACAGTGTGTTGCCAAAGTATATAAAGTTACTATAAAGTTATCCGTATAGTCTTTGGTGATACGTAATTATTTTAAGTGCTTTTGTATTTTAATTAAAAAAGTTATGGCAATTTTATAACTGGTTTTGAGTGAATATATATTATACATTTCTAGTCAATCCGAAAAGGAGTGAGAGCAGAGTTTCGACAATTGCTAGGGTATACTTGACTTTCTTGTTTACTTGCGGTTTGGGAGATACCCAATGCCGCTGTAATATCACCGGTGTGGTTCGTCATCAATTTCTTGTTTCATGACGCGTACGCGTTTTGCTCCGCAACCGGTTTCGATTCGTTTTGTATTGCTGAAATAATGATCCAAACGATCTGGGAGCGACCCGCCATCGGCCCACTGTGATTCATGCAGACAGACAGAATGTCTGAAACAATCGGGCAGTGAGAACTTTTGTTATGTTTCCCAAACATTTTATTTTGCAATTGCTTATAATCCAAAGTTCATTTTATGCTATAAATGGTGTGTGTGCTTCTGTGTGTGTGTGCGTGTGTGTATTGGGTGTGTCTCTGTATATATATATATAGTAGTAGACATGCCGTCATCATGGAACATTGTTTCGTCATTCGATCGTCATGGGTAAAGGGAATGTACCTGTTTGCATCTGGTAAGGCATTTAGAGGCGTCTCACAACCCGACGAACAGCGCTCAGCTTGGCGGGACCCAAACGACGGATGGGTTGGGCGCGACGAAGGTTCGCTGCTCGCCTGGCAGCCACCAGACGCGCCTGCTCGGCGGGCACATCGGCAGCGGCGGGCAAATCATTGCTGACAACATCGGGCGGACCGTAGACCTCGTCGGGCACATTGTTGGCCGCTGGTGCCGCATCTGGTGGCCCATAGACGGCATCGGGCGTTGGATCTGCGGCAGCTGGTGCGGCTACCTCATCGAAAGGCACCTCCGGTTTCAGTTCATCGGCTGATGGATATGGCGTGACGGCGGCATCTGCATCGGCTGCTGGCGCCAACTCCTGGCGCGCAAAGGAACGCGAACGTCCACGGCTGAGACGCTGGTTTGAGAAGCGCTGACGTTGCACCTGTGCCTCACTGATTGCCACTAGGCAGGCGCAGGCGATCACTAACAGAATTTGGAACTTGGCCATTGCGATGATATTGTAAGTGTATTTAGGAACCTGAAGCCAACGACTGCTGCATTTGTTGGGCGAGCAAAGTGCTTTTATAGCTAGGACCGATGTGGAAACATATTGGAAGTGCCACTGTTCCAGCTGTTTAGTGTGCGGGACGTTGTCGCATAATCCAAGCTTGGACATCCTTTTTTGGCGTATGCTCTGACGTCGGCGGCACTATTGTGAGTGGATGATCGGTGGGTTTATGGCCAAACGACGTGACAAGAAAGAGGTAGCAGAAGAGCTGGAAGCTCCAAATTTATAGTTCCGCCATTAATCAATCCAAAACCGGACCGAATACCTTTAGTGCAAATCCATAATAGTGGGCTTGATATTGAAATGTGTTCTAGTTGCATTTAAAGTTTCGTAAAAAGAATGATACGATCTTAAAATCAACCAATCGCTAAAATCGTTCAAATGTACATCAGAAATTTTGGAAATTTATTTTGATAATCTCAAATGCTGGGTACTAAATTAACAAGAGTCAGTAATCTGTAATCGATGAGGGACTTATTACGCATAAAAGCAGTTGCGTTGATGGATATAGTTTGATATAGTCAGACGTGATCGGTTAGTTAGCTACTTATAGCTGCCCTTGACGGTCACCTTATACAGTCGCTGCCCGCATAAATATCGATTATAAGTGTTTAATATAAAATTCTAACACTCAAAACCAGACATAATGCAATTGGCAGCAAGTTTTCGCTTTCAATTGATGTGGGCAACTTGTCAATGGCTTAGTGAGTTCGATACTCTTTTAAATTGCGGATCACGTAGGAAACGCATTTTATTTTCATAGAACATGGCGACGATTCGGACGTGGTGGACGTGGATAAGCTGGCAAGCGAATCCCAGAAAAACAAAACAAATGCATAACACGCATACACACATATTTGCTTGTAGTTAAATACATATAAAATAAATAAAATAAAATAAATCATTAAATGTGATAACCGTGCGCCTAATGATGTTTCATGTCTATAGATATGTCAGTTCATGTATAAATACATATATATATATATAAATATGTCTCGATTTTGCGGAATGAGATGGGACGACTCTCGCTTTCATTGCCAGTCGATAGCCAGACCTTAGATAGCTCGAGAACGTTGTATAAAAAGAGCACACGCATCCGCTGCGTAAATCAGTTGAAATATATATTTGGGAGAGTTACGATATACAGAATGCAGTGGATACTTGGATTGATCGTATGTCTCGGGGCATTTGGCATAATCGCAGAGTCGCGCCAGATACGCATCAATCGGTATGCGGTCAGCGTCCAGGAGGATGACGATCAGCAGGCCCAAGTGAGGGAGCTAAAGCCCACTCCATATCCAGCGGCTGGCTATAGACCGGAAGGACGTGCCTTCTGGCTGCCAGGCGAGGCTTCTGACTCAGACTCAGGTGCACGATCTAGTTCCGATCAGGGCACCACAACAACGGAACTGCCGCTGGATACCACGACAATAAGCAGCACAACAGAAGCACTCGATTTGAGCACGACAACAGCAGGGGATTCTGTAGATGCCACAACCACATTGTCACCCATTCAGTTTCGATCTGGTCGTGCCTATGTTAAAGCACCCTATCCGGCTGCGGGATATCGTCCAAGTCGAGCTTTTCTACTGCCAACCGAACTGAATCTGGAGCAGCAGCAGCAGCAGGCAGAAACTAGCAATTCAACTGCGACGTCTGCGGCACCAGATAGCAATGCCAATAATCCCGTTTGTGGTGTCAGCACAAACCCATTGAAGCCAACACCAGAGCCGGGCTCCTCGGATGAGCCCGATGCTGAAAATGTGTTAATTACCGCCAATCTGGGACCTGCTGTCATTGTTGCCAGTGCACCCAGATCTACCATTCCGGTAGCCATTCCGATACGTTCGCAACCCTTAATTCAGGCGCCGGCACGAGGATTTGCCTACACCACGCATGTGGAGCAGCGCTGGTGAGACAGTGGATGCTTCATTATATTGTTAGCTGCTTAGAATTTATAATTTCACTTGATTTTTAATAAAGTTTTGTATGTATTTGTGTATGTATTTGTTAATTGGCTTAATGTTTGTTTGTGTATTTATATCAGGAAGCGATCTCTAAAGTTAAAATTTGTTTTCCAATTTGAAATGAATCCAGTATTAACTATTATAAATATAGCAAAACTTCTTTTAATCTAAATCCAAATGTATCGTATTATATTGAAGCAATAAAAATATAATAAATAATAACATATTTTCTAATTTAAATGTATTGCTCTAAGTTACAGATTTATGCATCTCTTTTATTCGATTTCCATCATTTATTGCTTCAATCGCAGTAAATAAATCTGTCCAGTTTGGTTTATATTATTTCGTAACCTAAGTTACTGTATTCCTGTATTTGAATAATATTCGCAAAATTCTCAGTTATATTTCTTATCACAGAAGTATTTCCTCCAGACATTCCTTTATTGTTTTGGGACAGAGTGATTCACACACCTCGTAGTCGCATGTATAATTAATCAAATCTTCATTTACCAATTCTATTGATTCGCTGGAATCACTAAATGATTACTGTATCTTGTCTTTTAAATGACTATTTAGTTTCTTCAGTCCATTTGAATGCTTAATTAGAATACATAAGTATTGTTTTATTATTTGCGTATTTAAAAATAGAAAAACAAAATGTAACTCGAAACAATTTCAATGTGCTTGCAGATTTGGCAGTCAGCGCAAATTGTGCACATAATTAACAATCAAGGGATCGTCGAGACTGGTTGGCACGATTTCCACGGAATGCACTACCGGCTGCAAGTGGAAATCGCTGTCAATGTGCGTGAAGCTGCCCAGCTGCAGTTCATCGTGTGTCGTTGGGGATGTCAGTTCTAGTTCGAGGCCAGTTCCAGCATCGACCAGCACATACTCCGCCTCGGGCTCGACAAGAGCCAGCTCAATGGCCACATTGTTGTTGCCAGCTGCCTGCGGCTGTTCGGCAATCGTAATTGTGGTGTTGTCTGTGGCCACGGCAACGGCCAAGTTGGGCTCTGTTGAGTCCTCTGACGTGGACATTGTCGCATTGATGGCAAACAGTTTTGTTGTCCCAGTCCTGCGGTCGCTGCTCTCAGTTGTTGTTGTTGATTCACTGATATCGGTTGTTGTTGTCATTGTTGTAGTGGTATCCTGTTGTTCCTGCTCATTGCTCTGCGTTGTGGTGGGCACAATTGATTCACCACTGCCTTCGGCTGTGGCAGCGTCGCTCTCGTCCAGCTCCTCAAACTGATGTTCCAGTTCGGCGGGTCGTTTGCCCGGCGTGCTGAGCAACAATAGTTTAGCCAACTTTGTTTGCGGCTTGACCACATCAGCCCCACTCAGCTCGCCGGGCGCAGGATCAACACTGGCCAGGCCAACTTGCACGGTTGCATTCGTATCACGGCTCAGTGGAACATTCACTTCTGGCTCCACTGTAGTAACTTCATGCTCAAACATTTCGCTGATTGTTGTGGTTGTTGTCTCCTGTTGTTCCTCGGGGCGTAAGACAGCCGGGTGAACGCTCGCCAGGCACAGCACCAAAGCCAACGCCGTGTAAATACCGAATCCTTTCCACATATTTGCTACTGCTGACTGCTTTGTTTATTTGTCCAACTGTTTGACGGTGCTACTAAGCGCTGACATTTTCCAGCCGCGGGTATTTATAGCTGTTTAACAATTCCTAGCAGGCAGTGGCCAGTGGGGTACGCGATCCCCGACAGCTGTCATAATTTTAGCCCTGAAGCGACCAAATCGACACGCTGTTTCCGCATGCCGTCCAGTCCGGAAATGTAATTCCCAATGTGTTTGTGTGTGTGTGTGTGTGTGGATGGGTGGGTGGTTGCTTCGCCTAGTGTCTCCGTCGTGGTCATCGTGTCAACAGGGAGGCCAAAAGGCGAACATCGTTCGTTACACCTTAAACCTGCCCCGTTGACCGCAATGATGGTCACAGAGTCAGACCCAAAATCGCTTTACATGTCCCCCGTCCGTTTCCGACATCTGCTTGCTCAACGAGTAGTACTCTTTACTTGTTGTAGTTGTTGCATGTTTGCCTGGCAGCCGATTTAACTTTGTGTTGGTGATGAGCAAAGTTTGTGGCTGACCAGTGCCAGTTGTTGTTGACCATGCTGGTCACGTACTTTTGGTGACTTTGTTTTCGTCTTAAATTCGAATTGAGAAAATTGAAATAAATAGCCACATGTTCTTGTGCGCATATGTATTTATATATAAATATATATATTCATATATAATAAGTGTATAAGTATGTGTATATGTGCATCTATAGATACTGCACAAAAGCTGTATACGTCAATGAGACAATAATGACATATTTTGGAATTAACTTAAAGTGAAACTCCCAGTCCCCGCCAATGATTTTATTTATTGCAATAATCAATTAAAAATTGGAAAATTTATATTTGATCAACAAACAGCCAAGTCGCTTTCCATCTGTATGAATCACCTGATCCCAGAGACTATAAGAGCTAAAGACTTCGAATTTCAAATTCTTCTATTTGACTATTCATTCTATCTTTGTCAACTTTTAAAATTTCCTAAAGAAATGAATATATTTAACAGCTGTGTGTGAAGAGTATTTCCTAGTCGACGTATCTCGACTAGGGAATTCTAACTTGTTTATGTATTTATTAATTATTTTTTTGCTAGTAACTTTGACTTAATTTTCATAAACATTTCGCAGAATTGTAGAGCTGTATAAAATTTGCATATAGTATAAGCAAAAGAAGTATAAGCTGATATTTCCTGAATAAATTATTTTGTCATTAAGCAAATAAATATATTTTACTTATTTGCGGAAGCATATAAATTGTGTTTAATGATAGCCTAACAATTTTGCATGTCTAGACAACTGATTACTGTCTTTAATTATTTGAATGAAGTCTGAATTTAAATTCCTTCTGCTGAAATCTATATTCGTAGTAAAGTAAAAGACGTTATGTATTTATATTATTTGTATTATATATAAGTTTATTATCGAAGATTCAACACTACTTATGTTAAAAATATTGTACGTCTTAAGTTTATGATTTTATGTTGATTTGCATGGTTTCTGGGATGTCTTTTTTTTAACGAAATTTCTAATTTCATAAAACGAATATGTCATGTTTATATGTTGGTATAATGTATAATAATTGCATATGATCGATCGCTGTTGTACAAGTAGTAGAGTGGGAGGAGTCACGAAATGGCTTGGAAATACTCGTATTCATAAGTATGTATCTATGTATGTATATAGATACATATGTACGTATACTACATATATATAGCATACACTTGTATTTATATATCGATATCGACGCGATATGTTAGAGCCTAGTACATCGAGATATGTGTGCTTCGTTTAGATACAAGATACAATTAGTTAAGTACAATTACGATAATTATTGTTCAACGTATATTCAATGTAGATATCAGATTTGGTTTTAGATATTCGTTCTCGTAATTGATTTAATATTAGATTTATTGTATTTAGATGGTATCCTGTGTGTATATGACACACTCACGTATAAAATGAATTTACGTCTACTTACAATATAAAAATGTTTTGGTTTGTGCTTGTCGGTATTTGTTTTAGTCGTCTATCGAAAGACTTAACTTCGTTTTTGCAAAACTTACAAATAGCCCAATTGCCAACGGGAAGCACGTAATGCTCTCGCTATCTCTCTCACTTTCTTTCTCTATTTCTCTCTCTTTCTGCGTGTTTCTGCAGTGCACTTAACAGGTCGTTTACGTGGTATCCTCAAGGAGTACCTATAAATCGCATTGTCACTAACAAAGTGCAAGTATATTAAATCATAATTTAACTTGAAATGTTTTCTAGAAAACATAATCGTATAAAAAGCTTCTAATTGATATTTTCTTTTTTAAATTTAGGCTATCGATAAAAAAATGCGTTGAAATAAATTTCTTATTTTTTTATAATATAAATATTTGGATTTATAATACGCTTAAGAAAATCTCGCCCATCTTCCAATACGATTGAGGCCAATGAAAAAATATGTTAGCCTAGGCAATATTATGCACCTTGGCCGATAGGCAATTGTGTACCACGAACACAACCGGCTTTGGACAGCACTCCATGTCCAATTCCTACAGATAGAGAAATATACGATGAGTTGTTAATTCAGACGGTTAACTAACCATTTGTGAGCACTTACAATTTCGCCATCATCGCCAAAATCCAAATATAAAAGACGAGCTCCATCGTCCGCTGAGCCTTTCAATTTATCAAAGGGGAATTGCCAGAGCTGCGTTTTGTTGGCCACCGCCACTGATGTTGGCGTGGACGAGGCAAAGCCACCGCAATCGTACAAGAAGAAGCCGCGATTTATGTGCACAACCAATTGACACTGCCTGCCTTGATAGAGGCAGCGGAACGAGAACTCGCGCTGCAAGTTTACCGCCTGATGGGAGCCCTGGACAAGAGCACGCGCCCACGCGGCCATATCCCGATGCGTTTCCGAGCGCAGCCAATAAACCAGAACACCGCGAGCCGTGCCACATCTCACACAGAACACCGTCGTCTGTTGGCCCTGTAAATTTGAAATTTAAATCTTTCTCGTTTCCCTTTTAAATGTCAACTCACATTTAGTGATGAATTGTTGCCAGCGCCCGCCAGGCGTGTTGTGGCGAGTGCATAGCTCTCCAGCGGACGACTCCATGCCTCCACAGACCAGGGTGCACTCTCGTATATCCGAAACTCACGCTCTGTAACAGCCACAAAAATGGGCAGCCACTTGTCGCTCTCATCGGAGCTCTCCGAGCTGGAGCGACCGCTGGGCTATAAAACAAAGTGACTCATTTTAGTTAACGATTGTGTTCTTGAGAGATTTTGTGAACTATTTGCAGCATCTTTGAATTAGTTGATGACAAAGCGAAGTTAGAATTTTTGTTGGAAATATGCAACTTACACTTACCACCTCACCGGCGACGCCTCCACTATTCGATGTGCCACTACCGCCACTGGCTGCACCACTGCCGCCACCGCCACCGCCAGCACTGCCAGAGCTGCCTGCCCCATTTAGACGCTTGCTTAGCCAACCAATGTGCTTCAGCTCACCGATGAGAGCCATCAACGCACGATTGGCCTCGACCAAAGCGCGCTGCGTGCTGCTGCCCATGGCCGAGTGGAGCGCATTGAACCAGACCAGGGCTTCCGCGGAGTCGGCCGCACGCAGAATGCACGAATGCACCCCATCAGGCGAGTGCAGCTCCAGGCAGCGATTCTCTGCAAAAGTGTAAAATTAAAACTAAGCTTTCAGATGCTCTATGTATCGCCTCCTCGCCATTTACCCGGATCGATGTATTTGAGATTGCGCGCCAGATGCGTTAGCTGCAGCGGAATGTAGCGCGTATCTGCACGAGGTGTTGTCTTTGGCGTCGGTGCTGGCGGGGATGTTGGCGCACCCGGACCCAGCGGGCAGAGAAATGCGCGCTGCAGCTCCCAGCCCACCTCGGAAATGATGCTCGCCTTCCGAAAGTAGGGCGTCACTTCGCGCAGGAATTTAACTGAAAATACAGACATCAATATCAATATACATATATTGGAGCACATGAATATGCATGCCCAAGGGTGTACTCCATACAAACACACAGACACACACACACACAGACACACACTTAGGCACATTGGCACACAGGATGTGGTGACATCAACCGCACAGCGTTCAATCAGTTCATCCTTGCCATCGTCAGCATCGTCAAACACAAACGTTGCGGCATAAATTCATTAGAGTTTCCGCTCCATTTTTATTCGATTTGCACACACAGTCACACACACACACACATGCTCAGACACACTCACAGTGGCACAAATGCTGACAATCGATATACGGGGTAATTCAGGGTAACTACATACATAGTATTTGTAAGTTTCAACGATTCAGTTGTGCAAGTCAGAAAAAATGCTTTTCAATATATCATTTTTAAGCGTTGGCTCACAAACAATACTGTGTTTAACTCAAGCCAGCTTGCTAACCCTAAAATATAGTTAAACTGCAGCTAACTTAAACTGCTTTTTAATTCTATCATCGTTGTTATAAGACTCCATTATCTTTATGTTTTCTTAAGGTTATTTTACGATTTATTCACATGCATTTCAAAGTGATTTGCGCTACTGTGCAGACTATGCAAATTCTGAAGCCAGGTGGCTTGTACGAGATAAATACTCTTCTATCTGACTATGGAGTACGCTTTGGGTGTGTTTGTGTATGTGTGGGTGGTATGTGTGTGTGTGTGTGTGTGTGTGTGTGTGTGTATGCCGCCCACAGCATTTGCACATTCCCGTTGTCTTTCGAGTGATTTGGAAATTCAATTTTCACACTTAATGCCAACTGTTGTCAGCAGCAGCGTCTGTCGCATTTTTGGGTCGGTTCGTTTTATGCGACTCAATTCGTGTGCTTAGCTCAACTAATTAGAGCAGACTGCGCCCGGTCTGACATAATCGTCTCGCAAACCCACAGACTCACAGACTCCCTGCTAGCCAAACACTTGCCCCTCTGGCCATCCCATTGGCTTTCACTAATTGCTTGGCATTTACGTGCACCAAAGGGTTACGAGTGGACGTTGTCGTTGCCGTTGCCTAAGCTCGCAGCTCAGTAAACATTTACATACAGAAATATGCAACCGACAACTAACAAACAAGCAACAAAAAAAAAGAAGCAAAACAAGCAAGCGGGCAAAAAAATGGTTGCATAGCGTCAGGCGCTACTGGGAACTGGCATTTGGTGCTGGGAACTGGGAACTGAGAAACATGAGAATTGGTAAGCTTGAAGTGCACTAAAATGCAAACAAACCAAGCAAAACCAACGCAACCAATGCAACGCAACGCAAAAGTTTAGAAACAACAACAACAATAAAATCAACAATAACAGCTTTAATAAGTTGTGTACATTTTTGTATTTGAGTGTAAATAAAGTTGCAGTTCCAGCAATAACAAAAATAAAACAATCAAGCTACAAAAAATGCTGTAAGCCAAACTGTAAACTGCCAGCTATAAACTGTAATTCTGCGGACTATCTCAAATGCATATACAAATATGTGCGTATCCACATATATTCATATGATCTGAATTCATACCATAAGCCATACGATTATGAGCGTTGATAATTATTCATTATACACTCATCAGTTGACAAATATTCTACTTAATTTAAGTAGCCCAAATTATGCACAAATTTACATTTAATCAACACAATTGAAAGTATTCAGTTTAAATGAGGATTTGTGAATAAACCATTTATTTTTTTCAGTAAAGGGAATAATTTACAAAATTATACAATTTAATGTCGGATAGATTAAAACAGGTGTAATGCTTCATATTTAGAAGCTTTAAAATTTTCGAGAGTAGCTTTTCTTTACTAAGCATACTTAAATTAATCTAATGAACACCAAACAATTGTACAATAAATAAAACCACAAACTCATTTACGGTCGAGCTAAAAATTGAGTTTAGATAAGTAAGTTGTATGTGGAGCAGCAGAAGTTAGGTGGGTTAGTTTTTGACACCTTTGGCAAACGAAGAGAGACCGGCACATGAGCGCCCGTATAAATCAAGCCGGAAAGTAGCCAAAATGGGCGTGGTCGTGGGTGCACAAATATGATATCAAGTGCAGGCGGCGTTGCTCGCAAATCGTGCGTTAAAACTTTGCTCAAAGTTTTTTAGAGTAAAATCTCACGCGCTGCGTTGTGCAGGAAGTGACAAGGGAAAGCGGGAGACGGAGGCGGAGGCGGATGAATGCGGGCAGGGCAGAAAATGGTTGGCATGCCCACAAAAGTATTCCAAGCTGTAAAAACCATTGCTAATGGATTTTTGGTTGGCATACCAAGATGAAGGGAAGGGATGGAGTTGAAAGCTAAACCATAGCCGCAGCCAACTGTCGACGACGCCTTTTGCCTGGGCGACGAAATCTGCCGTTGACATTTGGCAGTTGGAGTTTGGATTTTGTGCAAAAGTTGGCGCCCCGAATCCCAAGTTACCCAAGCTACCAGCTTATTTAAATTACAATGAGGCGGTCGAGATGCCGCTGCTTTTGGCCAAGTTGATAGAGGCGAACGCCCGAATCTGGCAAACAACTTGGCCAAGTTGTAAATTGAAGTTCAAGCCGATGACGATAACGGGGGGATTCCGGGTTCGGGACGAGGTCCCTGTACCTGGACCTAAACCCGAACATTGCAGCTGTAGCCGTTGCTCGAGCGGATCGCTGTTAAGCATGTCATCATGCCTATTCACGGCTTATTTTGGCTGTGATTAGGATTGTGATTGTCATGGTAAAGTTAATGGGGATATGTGCTTGTGCCACTTTACGTGCTTATAGATGTGGGCCACTTTATCTTAATGAACTGCCCAACTCGCAATCAAAATTATGAAAGCTGACTAAACATGCGCAAAAACACACAAAACCAAAAATTTACACATTTTGCATACGCTATGTGGTTAAGGATATTGTGATTATGTCATGAAGATGATAATATAATATTATAAGTGAAAATTGGGTGTTGAATATGAGAAAACAAAGATAGTAGGCCTTATTTTAAAGCGTCAACAGGAGCAATGAAATTGTAATTATTGTATTTAAATATATATATTTAATATATTTGATTTATTAGCACCCAAAACAACCAACTTCAGTTAGGGCATCCGCTAGGCGACAAGTGCAATTCGGTTTGTTTTTCGGAATTTATTCGCTCTTCATTTTTTTGGGGCGACAAAACTTTGGCGAAATGGATCAACGACATGTGTGCGAGTTGCTGCTGAGTAGCATGCAACTCACGTTGGTTAAATGATGACGACGACGACGACGACGACTATGAAGCCGTTGAAGTCGTCGTCATGGGCATGGAAACGAATGAAACGTGCCTTTTGGGGGAACTGAGGTTGGGTATCATATTAAAGCGACGATAACATTGAGCTTGATGGCTACTTTTGATGGGATTCGATACGTTTTTAAATGCGCAAATATTGCGACTTGTGTCCCATTTGCATTGACCGAGCAAGAGTTATAGTTATCATAGCCCAAAAACAAATATAAATCAACAAAAAAAAACAGAAATTAATGCTGCTGACCTTGCGACCGTTACTGAATTCTGATGTAGAATCCACCCACCTTAATATATAGTTCACTATATAAGCGACTGCCAGCACAGCAGCCAGTCACATACCGTTAATATTCGTTGAGCGCGCAACATGAAGACATTTACAGGAATAGTTATGCTGATGCTGCTACTGGCTGCATGCATCTCAGCCATGCCACAACGTCGACATCGCCAGCAGAAGAGTCAGCGACAAGTGGAGTTGGCAAGCACACCGTATCCGGCAGCTGGCTTCCGGCCAAAAATACCCTTCGAGCTACCCAGCGAGCAACAGCCTAAGGTGGAGGTGCCAACAACAGCGGCAACTTTCAAAATTGCGGCAGAGGAAGCACCGAGCACTACCGAGTTGATTGAACAGCAACCGGAGCAGGAGCCGACAGACGTGGAGGTCAATCCGCGCACACCTGCAGCTACTTATGGTGCACCCGAGCAGGCTGATGACACTGTTGAGGTGGTGGGTGCACCGGCGCCAGCACAAGACTTTCAGCCGCCCGTACGCGAGGCTGTGGAGGATTTTGCCGCTGTTGCCATTGATGGCGTTGCTGATGAGCAGCAGCCTGTTGCTGATTTGCCTGCCCTGGACAAGGTCGAGACACCGCTGAACAATGAGGATGAGCAGCAGACTGAAACTGACACTGAGGTCGCTGCCAAGACGGCGCAAGCAACACCTGCCAACACCTATGGTGCGCCCAACACGCCCGCCGACAACTATGGCCCACCAGAGCTCGAGGAGCCCATCGACAACGAACTGGACGTGGAGGAGTCACAGGTGGAGTTGGTCGAGGAGGCCGAACAGGAGCTAATCAACGAGGAGGAGGTTGCTGATGCAGCTGCCCTTAACCTGAGCAGCGGTCGCTTGATTCTGCTGCCCCTTAATGCCGCCGGCACCCGATTCGGACGACTCATTCTGGCCGTGGAGCAGCCCAGGCAGCCCAAACAGCAACTTGGACGCCAACGCATTCGTAGCGAACGTTTGCGACGCCGCAACTAAGCCAAATCCAACAGTAAACTGTCTGATTGACAAACAGGCATTGATAATAAATATTTGGATTATCTTCCTCTAAGCACTTGTGTTTGTTCTCTCTTCTCTCTCAGTCTCTGTCTGTATGTCTATTTGCTTCTTTGTTTAAAGTAGTTGTCCTCATTTGGCAGCAACTGCTGCTGCGGAAATTGAATTGGCTGCATCAGAGTCAATCCAAATTGTTCCTTATGGTTCAATGCATTCCATGTGCGTAATTGTTTGCCATCGCTACCAATCCACCAACACAACAACAACCCAGCACCACCCATCATCCTGTCTCATTTGTCTTATTGCACAGAGCACTTTGAGATTGATTCAGAAATATTTATTGCTGAATAGAAAGTATCGCTAACAAAGTTTCAACTTATCTTTAGAATTATAGTTAAAATCTTGACATTTATAAAATTATCCCAAAGAGCTGTTTTTTCATGCGAAACTAACCATCAACTGGCCAAAAGACATTGCTGGATCTATTAACCATTTGTTATGTACATTTTAATCTACTAAAAGTCAAGCAAAGAAGAAGAAGAATTTCAGGCTTGAGTAACTTCGTGGAATAATTATCGTAGAAGTTTCTTTGTGTGATTGCCACCATACTGAATCTTGAATTTCTATTCTCTGCAGGCGAATGAAAATGTAGTGCGTAGCATTCATTTTAATTCGCACGGCAGTTGCCACGCCCCCCACCCCCCTTGCCACGCCCCGCATAGTGGCAATGGCAACTATGTATTTTGGAGCCATTTGATCAAATGGAAAGAAAACTTTTCTCATTACTCATTGCCAAGCCAAGGCAAACAAACAATCCAACGAACCGACGAGCTAACCAACAAGCCAAGCCAACAACCCAACTAACGGCAGTCAACAGCTAAGAGTCAACAGGCAAAGGAGGCAAATTGTATGCAGAGGGGCGAAGGGCAGTGGAGTGGGGGTGTATGGGAGATTGGTTGTTGTTGTTGTTGTTGTTGATATGGGATTTATAACAGTATACAGCTGCAGCGTGCAATAGCTTGCAGCAAGACCAACAGCATCAGCTGGTAGTAAGTTGCAAGTGGTGCACACTAATCCAACGTATGCAGCATTTCAGCTGCACTGAGAAAAATGAAGGACAACAAGCCAACAAGTTGACCAAGTTGAATGCCCAAAAATTACATTTTTCTAACTTCAACAAATCCTATTAATATTTGAATATCTTTGTGAAGAACATATATGAATTGAAATCAAAATAAAATGCTTGTTAAATTATACTTTGACACATAAAAGAAGTTCAGTTATGTATTGGAAGAATTATGTCTCTCTATAATTTGTTTTTGACTTTATATCTCAGTCTCCAACTCTCTCGGCTTTGCTCAAATAACCAAAGTGGCCAAAAGTGGGTGTCGGGTTGAACCTACCTTCCAGATCTACGACGCGACCGGCACGCTTGAGAGCACGCACCGCCTCGTCGTGGGTGGCATCGCGCAGCTCCTCGCCGTTAACCGTAAGAATGGCATCGCCCACGTAGAGTCCCTTGGCCTGATCAGCGGCCATGCCACGAAATATCTTCGAGATGAGAATGGGCATGCGATTCTCGCGCCCACCTTTGATTGAGATGCCCAGGCCGTTGTTGTCGGACTTGATGATGCGCACATGACGCTTCTGATTGGCCACATGATCAGGTACATCGCACATGTCCAGACCAACAGCGTCCGCATTGTTGTTGTTGTTCAGGGAAAGATCACCGTTGTTGTCGTTGCTGGTGCCGTTGCCCGTTCCATTGCCAGTTCCAGTCCCGTTGCCTGTACCCGTCCCAGTGCCATCCAGCTCGGTGTCCTGAACAACCATACCTTGCAGCGAGGCAGAGCTGGGCAGTGTGCCATTCTGAGCGGCACCTCCTCCACCGCTATGATTGCTTCTGCAATGCGACAGAGATTAGTGAATGAAGTGAAATTACTAAACTCTTAATTTAACTTACCCAAGCGTGCCATTTAGGGTTGTGGACTGCCCATCGCTGGAGTGTTGCGACGACTCGCAGGACTCGTCCAGACTGATTGCTAGAAAGTCCGTTTCGAGCGTCACCATCACTCGATACCAAGAGCCACGCACTCGCGTTTCCAAATTGCCGCAACGCAAACCCGACGGCGACGGCGAATTCTGCTGTGGTATGGGTTGCTGTGCCGCTGGCGGCGCACGCCCCAAACTCGATGATTCCACCATGTCGCTCGCTTTGAATCGTTGCCACACACACGCTCAACAATCTACATTGCAAACTGAAATGGCAAGAAAATAACAGAAAATCTTTTTAAATTTATTGTATTGAATGGAATTTAAACTAGGCAGATGCAGATACAAAAATAATTGTTTCATAATGTAAAAAAAGAAAAAAGTCACTGTAGCTTCAATGAGTCCATCCTTTACTAAAGTCTGCTAATAATTGTAACCTTTTGTCTAAGGATTGAGCCATAAGGTATAAGGCTTAAAGCATACATAACTCCATTCTTCCATAACTCAAATATAGTGGGGACCATATAAATTCATTCATTTATTTAACACAAGTTCTTAAGATATCCAGCAATTATATTAACCATTGATTTCGCCTGTCTTTGATTCTTAACGGATTTAGTTGCTTGCCGCTTTATGTAAACCATTCAGAGCCAATGTGGATATGTTCAGCGTTCATTGACAAGCTAATTTTCTGGTCATGTGGCACAGAGAGCATTAGTCAGCTCAATATTATGTTGGACAGGCGGCTGTCAGAGGTGAAAACAATTGGGGCGAACGGGTATCCAATGAAGTGTCCACAAAGCAACCGCAAATTTGGACAGCACGCCACAACATTTGTCATTGTTTTGCTGGCCAAGATTTATTGCGCATCCAGCACCAAGTACCAAGAAGTACTGGTAGAGCAACAATCTAAACCCAAAATAAGAGATAGAGAAAGGGAGCGACAGAGAGGAAGAGAGAGAGAGAGAGAGTGGGGGGCGGGGGAGAGAGATGGAAATGAAAATGAAATGCAAATGCAGCGAATTGTGCGCATCCTGTGCAAGCAGCGCACTCGCATCCTTTGCAGCAAAAGTCGGTAGCAGTTGCAATTACGCATCTTGTCGCCGCCGTCGCTGGAGGGGAGATGGAGTTTTTGTCTGATTTTGTTTTTGACAAGTGACTGTGTTCCCCTGTGTGTGCTCCCCGCACCTGTGTCCTTACCACCTACGACTCTACGGCCAACCCCAATATACACAGCCAGCAGCAAGGCATCCTTCTCAGTTATGTATGAGAGTGTGTGTGTGTGTGTGGCATTCGTATGTACATTTCCGCTGACGCTTGAGCAGGAAGTAATTTTGCCACTGCTGTAAGTCCACGTCGCTGCCTCTGTCGCTATCGCTGCCGCTGCCAGCGTCGACGTCGGCGGAGTCTGTTTACTTTGCAATTTATTGTGCAACATTTGTAATTATTATTGCAAGACTGCGAAGACTACAACTGCCGTCAGCCTCAGCCTCAGTCTCAGCCTCAGTCTCAGTCACTGCCCCTGCAACTGCCACAAGCCTGCAGGCAGCAAGGCTGGCAAAAAGTTTTTGAAACGCGCCAAGTGTGCGAATCCTTGAGACAGCAATGAACGCGGAGTGGAAGACTATGACGACGACGCCGACGAAGATGACAACACACTCATAATTGTAAGTAAACACAAACAAATAACAAAACACACACGCACACACACACACAGCGTGTGTGTTGAAAATACACACTTGATATATTCCGTGAGGGCAGTTTAATACGCAGCCAAAAATCATCAGTTCCAACCAATAAAGTAAGCCAAACATAACTTGATTTGGCTGGGGGATAAATAATCACTGTCTGCGTACTGCACTTAAGAATCTATAAATATAACTTAAAAGTTGTAAAGTGTTTGGCTGCTAACTTGTAGAACTTTAAATAACTTTAAAATGAAATCCCGAGGGAATTTGAATATTATCCGTGCCAGCTAAATACGTATTTCAATTATTAAAAGAGGTCATCGCAAACAAAACAATAAAAACTTTTAAAACTTTTTGCTTTCAGTTTATTCGTTTATTCGTTTTTAAATTGGCATTATTAATATTGGAAAAAAGAAAAGCAATGGCTGTTAAAGCAAGTTAAAATGTTCTAAATCGAGCCAGCTCGACTAGCAAATAGCTGTTAAATATACTAATTATTTTAAGCACAAGTTCGCAAACTTAGTTCAATAGTTGTTTTATATCATATGAAACACGTTGATGAAAATACGATTTTGTTAACAAAATTTGGGTTTCTCTTCCGAACTCAATAAAATTCAGCTCAACAACAGTGCAAGGGTTTATTATCTACCAAATGGAAGGATTTATCTTCACAATTTTGACTTTTAATGCCATTGGAAATCGATTTTTATTGACATCGAAATGAGAACAGTTATCGATCAAATAAAATCAACTTGACCTGCCTGGTATACGAGAAATTCTATCACAAATTCGAAATCTTTAGGTCTTATAGTCTCTTAGTTCGATTTGTTCATACTTGAGCCTGCTCAAGAACTTATAAACTTTGCACAACTTCAATGTATCAAAAAAAAACCGTTTTGACCTATCTAAAATTGTGGCCCTGTTCAGGTCAAACATTAACACAATGAAAACCAATGGTAATATTTTGCATATTGTTGGCCACTTTATGCCTGGCAGCCAGCCAACCAGCCAGATTAGCCCTTTCGGTTAAGGAACGCGCTGTGACTAATTAGAGCAAGTCTGTGCAACGACAGCAGTCCCAAATCAAAATCCGAAATATTAATAGCTTGCGGCATTCGTTCACTCTCGAATGGGGCTAGGTGTTATTATTATTTTTTTCCATTTAATGTTTGTATACGCCTAATAAGCGCCGGGCGTTGCTTGTCGTCGCGCCAACTGCCACAGAGTGCTGCCTGCTGCCGCATGCCACTTGCCGGAGCCATTTTTCATGCTGCGCTTTGGCTAATTTAATGCTAGGCGGTCATAAATTATGCGCCCCGAAAAATAGGCAACAAAAATGGCACAAACAAAAATGTTAAAGCCTGGAAAATAGCAGCAGCTGCTGCACCAAGCACAGAAAAATACACACACTCTCTCACACACACACACACACACTCACACACACACTCACACACACACTTACACACACACACACGCTTCTGTGTGCAAGTTGCATTCAACTCGCGCTTTTCAGTAATAATGCTTTTTTAAAGGTTTTCCTTGCAGCATTTTGTTTTTTGTGCCAATTTTTCCAGTTTTTTCTGCTTTTTTTCAAATGTAAAGTGTGCAAAGTATGTATGCGTTTTTTGTATTGATATGTGTATGTGTGTGTGTGTGTGTGTGTGTACGAAGAAGAGCGACCGAGGTGGCAATAAATACGCAAACGTATCCGACGACAAAGTGTGGCATGCCTCGCCCTTCGCTCCTCATCAGGCTATGCATGCCATGTATCTACATATACAAGTACGCGGGTGTGTGTGTGTGTGTGTGTGTCTGGGTGTTGGTGTTTGTGTGGAAGTGTGTATTGTGGCTGCGCCATCAAAAAGTCATAAAATCATAATTTGTAAACGAGAATTTATTTCGAAAAATATTTATGGTTTGCTCCTTTGCTGTTGCGCCTTTCAGCCGGGAGCATTTGCGGAATTTATCAACCAGCAAGTGTGTGTGTGTATGTGTGTGTGTGTGTGTAAGACCCCGCTTCATTACAGTCATGTCTGCTGGTGGCACAGCGAACCATGTTGTCCTCGACGCGTTGTGGCCATTTGATACCATTAATTTGATGCGAACCTTGGCTTGGCAAACGGATTTTGCCTTTTCCGTTCGCAATCTCTTCACTAGATAAAACGGTTCAATTGACTTTGTGCACTCGCATGTAACATCCAAGCGGAATTGCAATCCACTCATCAGATAAGCTCTGATTGAGTTTGCAGCAGAGCATTTACTTTGGCAATGGGATATTAGGAAGAGCTATATTGATGCAACATCGGTCTTGCTTAGTTCTTCGCTTTTTATAGGCATTAAATAAATAAAACTCAATAAACTTATCTCTCATTTCGCTGCAATTAGTTTTATTTATCGTTCAGCACAGTTTACAAGTCGCTTTTCAGTACAAACGCCTGTCATTAAATATCGATAATTGCAAAAAGAAAAACTTAAACTGCACTAGCCTGCACCTGCCGCCAGCTACACTTGCCCCACAGTGTAAAGTACGAGTTCGCACTCGGTGTCCATGCAACGCAGCCAATCCGTGTGGTGAGCCTCTTAATCATTCTTAACAATGGCGTCTGGTTTGGTGTTGTCGTTGAGCTTGTTGCTCAACTGGTGGAAATCGATATGTGTTTGCACATATAAAATATTAAGCATCTACATATAAGTAGCATATTGTACACTAATGATCTTTATATACACATAATGCGCTCAATTTACTACCACACGTGAGGGATTTGCCAGGGGGTAGCAAAGGTGTGTGTATGTGCGTATGTGTGTATGTGTGTGTGTGTGTGGTTGCTTGAATTTAGTTGGAATGATGATTTACTCATTTAGTTGATGTTGTTGCAAGACGAGCTGCTTGAAAGTCAAGACCTGAAAGACCAGTTTCAATTTCAATTTATTTATTCTATTCAGAGCAAAATGTGAAACATGTTAATTATAATTATAATTCTTATCTCAATTATTTTTGCCTTGACTGACTGCTTAATTTCAAATGCTTGCTTGAAAAAAATAATCAACTATTTTTTCCTTGACTTAGAGTAGACATAAACTTTATTCATGCTTCATGCATTTCCAAATCGATAATAAGTAGCTTGGGTCTTTTAACTTGGGTTGTAAAAAAATCTAACATAATGCATAAATAATAATGCAAACTGACAAGCCAAACAACATATTTGACTTTAATCATTGTTAACCATTGTTGTTATTGTTGCCCACGTAGGCACCGAAATAAATCCGTTTGTGTGTTTTCATATTGAAATATTATGTGGGTAACCACAAAGCCGCCACTGCGACCGCTAAAAGCCAAAAACAAACCACACACACACAGACACACACACCTAGCTACCCACACATATAGATATATTAATAGATACATATATATATATATAAGAATCTACCCATTGTGTACATGGAGCAACTAACTAGCTGACTTGACCTGGCATGACAAATTATTCAGCATTGATTAATTATGAAAATGCGTTTATATTGATTGTCGTGTGTGCGCCTAATTCCAATTCGAGCGTCCACCTTGCGTGTCTGTTTATGTATATTAACTGCAGCAACAACAGAAAGGGGGTAGAGTGGTGCGGGGAGAGGAAGGGAGGGAGTACAGACCCGACCCATAACAATTACCAAGTGCCGATTGTGGCCATGTTTTGGGATTATTATGTTTTGTCCCGCTGGCAAACAAATGCCGCCTGGCCCCAAAATGCGAAAATGCAAATCAGGCAAAATGTGTATGGCAAATGAGGCAAGTGCGGCAAATACAACAAATGGGGTTGTGCTGTTGTTGTTAATCTGTTGGAGGCAGGTGGCAAGCAATGATGGCGTCGCCTTTTCCACTTATTAATTGCCAGTGTCTTGGCATAATTTGCACTCATTTGTCTGTTGAATGCTCAAGTGCTGGCCATTGTTCCACAAAAGTCAAGAATCTGTTCACGTAGCAAAGACACGGAGAGGTGAGGAGATTGCGACTGGGACTGGTTTGAAATGCAAAATGTGATGATGCAGCTTCATTAAGTGCAATATCTTTCTTGGTCTGCTCAGCTCTGCTTCGTTTCGTTTCGTTCGTTGAGCTGTTGAAAGGCATGATGACAAAAGGTGCTACAAGCGTAAGGGAGGAGGGGGGCCACAGTGTGGGGCATTGAGAAGCAGCAAGATGCAACGGAGCCAACTGAATGATGCGGCGAATGAGCACAAAAGTTCCCATTCTCATTCTCATTCCCTAATGCAAGTAATTGCACGTCGCTCTGATTAAGCTGGGCGCAATTTCAGTTTTTTTTCCATCTCTCTATCTCTCTCCCTCTCACTCTCTCTGTCATTGTATGTTTTGTCTCACTGAAAATGCTAAGCCAAAAAGCGGATTAAGTCTTTGTAGTTGAAATTTACCCGATGAATGTGAAAGTGACCCTCGAATTGCCAAATGCATGTCCTTCAGCTAAATTTCTTACAGCTATTTCTGTGCTTTTTTATAGACGTCATTATGAGCATTATAATGGAAATTAAGCTCTTAGCTTTCTAAAGCTGCTGCTAAGCCACAGCATAGAGAGAAAAGAAATTACGGCTATCTGTCAACACATATCGTTAAATGCATGTCAATTATGACTTAAATGCTTAATAAAAAAAAACCGGCAAAACGCTGCTACTGCTGCTGGTCGAAGGACGCTGCTTTGACAGGTGGCGAATATGAAAGGTAAAAGTAAGGGGAAGTGAAGGGCCAAGGGTACGATGGCAAAGTGGCAACGCCAACACCAACGCTGATGATGTTGATGAATGCCGATAGTAAACGGAATTAACTTTCACGCAACATAACGACGTCGACAGCGACGGCGACAGAAACGACGACGACGACGACGCTCTTGAATGAAAGAAAAAGCTTACGCTAATGGCAGACTGCGCTGCTGCAGAGAGCCCACAACTGGAAAAAGCTTTTCGGCAAGCGCGCGTAGTAAAAGTGCGGGTGGAGGTGGAGAGCAGAGAGTAGTTGATACGGGCAGCGGGCAGCGGGCAGCGGTCAGCGGTAGGCGAATACGAGTGCGATTGCGGCTGGTTTGACTGGTTGTTGGGTGTTGTGGGTTGTGGATTGTGGCAAATTAAACAAGCGACGCTGATGACATCTCCAAGCAGAGCAAAGCTTAGCTTTCAAATGTTTGTAAATTAATAAACAAAATAAGCCATCCACCCCTCCCTCCCCTTCTCATTCCTCTTATACATACCTTTTCGATTGAGAGTTTGTAAATTTAACTGCTTTTTTGGCTCAACGAAAAACAATTAATGCAAAAGTTGACAGCAACTTTAGATATATGGCGGTTTGCGCATGCGCTAAAACTTGCTGCACTGAAGCAGCATTTCTATACACTCACGCACACAAGCACATTAACTACGCGACGCGTGTGTATGTGTGTGTGTGTGCTAAGGATTTTCGCTGTAAATTTATTTTTATTTTATTACACTCTGGCTTTGGGCTATTATTAAATGCTGAAACTTTGCAGTTAAATGTTTTTTTTTTTAATAATAGGCACACACTGCTAACATAAATAACAATTGCAGTAGCTGCAGTGAGTCAGTTAACAAGTATTATTATTTCGTCTAGCGCTTTTTTTTATTATTATTGTTTGTGTAGCAGACAGCTACGGCGGCGACGGAGACGCAAGCTTTGGCAGCGACAACGCGCAGCGAATCTGTTACCGTTAGAAATGGAACAGCGACTGAGACTGAAGCAATGCAATGCCGAACAAGCGCCAGCACGAAGCTACGCTTGACTAAAGCTTTCACTGTCAGCGTCAGCGTTAGCGTTGGCGTTGGCGTCTTTGCCGTTTGGAGGTGGTGTCTATTAGTGTTGGTATTGGGATTGCTTAGCCGGCAGCAACAGCAGAAGCAACTGCTGTTAACAGCCGACAGTTATTCAGTAACAGTGAAACGTGCAGTGCTGCCACATCATTAATTTAAAGTGTTGCACAAGAACGGATGCAGTGCTGCCACAACGTGTGCCTAACTGGCAGCGCTGTGAGCGAGCAGCTCCAACTAGTTGGCGCCTAATTTGAACTTGTTTATCTACTGGTAGTAAAACTAAAATATTGCTAGCAATTAGCGGAATTGGCACTTTAAGAATTGTTATTGCCGTTGCACATTTAAATACACAATTAATGCATATTTTAGTTAACTTATTTCAAAAATTGGCTTTAAAAAGTTTAATGTTCTTTACCTAAATAAAATCAAATAAAAGTAAGCAATTAACTTAATATAGAATTTTATTACTTCAAATAGCTATTTTTAAATACAATGCTTAAAAGAATGCCAGAAAATTTAAAATGTCCAACTCCATAACATGAAATATGAAAAACTTGAAAAGAAAACACTTTCTTGACAATTTCCAGTTCGCCTACGGCTCTATAAAAATAGTAGCTGTAAAAAATCAAATTATATATCATTAGCACGGCAACGGATATCTCGTTTTGTTATTTGCAAAATAAAGAAAAGAAAATAAAATGCGGGTGGAACCCGCTTCCATTTCCAACCTGGGCAAGACGCGGGTGCATCGCGAGTGCATCGTTATTCGAATGGGGAATTCCTGACAAGCGCTTCTCTTTATTTTTTTGTTTTTCTTGTATTTTTGTTTTTAGCCGCCACCAGATTTTGGCTGGAAAATGTGGCGTTGGTGCGCGAAAAGTTTTCCACGCATCCAACGCATCTCGCTGCCTGGCAATATCGGTAGTCATCAGCAAAAAAAAACACACACAATGAAAAAAAACGTGTTGTTGGCCAGTTGTATGTTGGCTGTGTTGCTTGTGTTGCCGCCGGCTCTGTTGACCCGGCCTGGCCAATTATGCACCGCGCGCCAAGTGGTGAAATCGATGAAGATGCACAAAATGCAAACGCACTCGGCTAATGGTCAATATGGTGATGCTGATGGCCTCTTATGTACGATATGTGGCCCGAACAATTATGGCCAAAGCAGGCAGCAGTCAACAGTCAACAGGCAACTGGCAACAGGCAACTATCAAGAGGCAACTTGCAACAGTCGGCTACAGGTGGGTTGTGGCTGAGCTTCTCTCTTTCCGCCTAACGAGCTGTGAACGTGATTATAACTGCTAGCCCGACATATGAAAATTATGTTCAAAATGCAATTTGGCAACAACAAAAACAACAACAATGACTAGGAGCAACCAGAAGCTGAATTCAGATTAGGCAATAAGCAGCCCCAAAAACATCCATAGAGTGAAAATATTTGCTTTGCATTGCATTCGTTGTAGTTGTTGTTGTTGTTGTCGTTACTGTTGCATTTGCTGCTGTTGTTGCTGCTGCTGGTGCATTGTTTGTTAATGCCTCGCCGGGCATGGTCAGAGCCAATAAAATATGAATTTGTCTGGCTGCTGTTCTTTTTGTATATGTTTTTATTTCTCTTCTTTTTTTCTGTGTTGCATGTTGCACTAGGAAGTCAGCTAAAGCATAATCGAACGGCATTTGATAGCCACAAACAGGTGGGTTCAATGGGGTCAAAATAAAAGTAGTCTATTAATATTATTTAAACGGAGTAATCCGATACAATTTATATATTCAGAGCAATTTCCACAGATACTTGGTTGGAAAATTATTAAGATTTAATTCATTCACATTACAGGCTTAGATTTAATGCCAAATATTTACAAATCTTCAATAGAAATAAGTTAAATTAAGTAATGAGTTATTTCATCTAATTCAAATATGCCGCCGCTTGACTAATCAGGTGGCAACGCTCAAAGGACACAAACATCAAAGCTAATTTGCATGTGCACATGTACAATGTAAATGTGTACATTTGACCTTGCCAGAATTCTTAAAGTATATCGTAAAAATACAACGTTAAGTTCGCTGCGCCTTACATTTGTAAATTGCCGCTGAACTCAAAATGGGTTATTCTAAATGTAGCAAGTGTCATTTTAGCATGACATGGAAATATTCACTTAATGATAGCTTCCGAATCTGTCCATGCGCTTAGCGTCTCTTAACGAATTAAAACTTTGAATTAAGCTAAACAGGATTTCACTCTCGCTGCAATGAAGCCCAAGTAGCCGCCCTGCTTGAATTCGTCACAAACAATAGCTACAATGTTGCATGCTACAGCCCGGCACAATGCTCATGTGACTTGTCAACGCTTCCAGAAACAGCAGCAACAACAACAACGACAGCAAGTTGCTGCAGAAGATTTGCAAGCACTTCACAGCTTCCTAGCACACACAGATCAAAGCGAAACGTGCCGCAGCTGGTGTGGGAAACGGTTGCGGTTGCAGTTGCAACTTGGAAGAAGGCGCTAAACGGTGGCAGCCAAATGGCGGGAATTTCCATTGCACATACGCCCCATTGCCAGCCCCAATGCAATAGACAACCGGACACCGCCCGCCGACGACGGACGATCAATCTCTATCGCTGCGAGGAGCAACTTCGTCGTCGCCGTCGTCGTCGTTGGCTCACTTGTTAGGCGCCTTGGAGCGTTTTGTAAGAACATAAATCCTTCAGCTGTTAGCAACACGGCTGCCTGTGGACAGCATTTGAATGCATCTCCGTTACCCCTTTGCCCGAACTGACTCCCAGTTCCAGTTGCCAGTGGCAGTAGTCCCGGTTTGTGTTTTCTTGCTGTCCATGGGCTGGATGTATTTCTTTGCTTTTTTTTTATTGCCATAAGTGGCAGGTAATTATGTCGCTTGCCTGATAAATTACATTGTTGACAACGGCAGCAGAGATGCAACGCAGCTAAAGGCAGCAATTTTTGGACATCAAATCTCACCTTTTATGTCTGAAATATTTATATTTATTTATATCTATGTATATATAAATCGTCGACTTTCTTTGCTTTGTCTCTTTGATTTGGCCCACAAATATTTAGACTGGGAACGAATTTGACAATTATTGTTTACAATTGTCTTGAACTGAGACGTTTTTATAAATCATTATTTATTATTTAATTATTATTATTTTTTAATTACATGCAACAAGCAGAATTAATTAAAAATTGCGCAAATAATTCATTTTATTTATATTTTTTTTCAACTCCATAACAAATAAAGTCACGCACTTAAGGCTTGCCATATGACAAGCCAGGCAATCCAATGCCTCCCCCACTGAGTCCGTCCATCCGTCCAGAGCTGGTAGCGAGGAAGAGGAAGAGGAAGAAGAAGAGGAATAGGAATAGCTGCTGGTGGCGATTGCATGTCTGCGATAAGGCGTGTGCCTCTGCTGCGGCTGCTGCTGCTGCTGGCAGTGAAGAAGATGCTCGATCAATCGGCTGGGCCTCAAGCAGAGATGGGGGAGCCAAGTGCGCCTGATATCTGTGAACACGGTAGCTAACATGCTTAAGTTTAATTAATGATAAGAAATCTGTATCTAAGGACGTCGCCGCCACGCTCCGCTGACACCGTAATGAGCAGATCTACGCCTGGCTTCAGAGGAATTCAGGTGTGCGCTTGAGCCAAACGGCCGGCAAACAGACCAGGTCGACACTGCTCCAAACCTCCAACAACCTCCAAGCACATTGACCATCGCCATCGCCATCGGCATCTCAATATCATGTAGATTTTTGCTAATGTAGGCACAGCGGCATCGATGCACCAGCCAACGTGGCCAAGAGTCAATCTTTGCGGCAACTGCAACTGCGACTGCTGCTCTCATACTCGCCATTAATTAGTTGAATTTATTAGATGGTCATCTCTGCTCGGCGGCACCATACGCCTGGGAATTTTTCGAATCCCTTGCATTGCTCTTCGCACTATGCCAACATACAGCAACAACAATAACAACAACAACACGTATCAGAAGAAAAAAAGAAGCTCTACTCCCCAAAACCGGAACGGACTAAATACATATACGCATCTCCATTCCCCATGCCCCATTCCCCATTCCCCATTTGCAGATACATATGCATATTTTGTGGATGAGAGCTGAGACCTGGGGCAATGTGGAGTTTACGATGTGGCTTTGTTCATGTTGTGGCCATCGAAATGGCACCAAATATTTTATCTGCTGTAGAGGATTAGTCGGACTTGAGTTGCATATTAGATGTAATAAATGGCTGCATTTGGTTCTAACCAATCTGACAGTTTATGCGCGTGTATTGACATTTGATTGCTCTGCAGATTGCCTTATTAGCAATCCAATATATATATATGTATATATCAATATATATATTGCAACTAATCGGCACATTAAGCGAATGGGGCACTAATCGAATTGCAAGTTTATTGCTAGTTGGCTCTGAGTTTGATAAGCCTAAGGCACATTTTAAAACCAAACCTCAAATGTTATAAGAATTAAGAGCTCAGATCTAAAAACAAAAAGCACTTGGTTTAAGAACCAAGAAAGAGACTTTTGCAATTATAACAGATTATGTGGAAGATCAAATATATTACACGTACCTAGCATACTCTAAGC